CACTTCTACACACTTCTCCATATCGCCCCTCTCTCTCCTTGCTTGTTTGTCTCTTTCCTTTTTGAGGGCACTCACATATATTTTTACATTTTCACACACAAAAACCTAAATGACATGAAGTAAACACAGTACGGTAGGTGGCAAACACGGCTAGCTGCCGTAGGTTGGATCAGCTTGGATTCATGATACGGAGGAGAACTGCCTTTAAAGGAAGAGTTGAAATAAGAAAAGAAGCGGAAACAGCTTGTTGAACTATTCCTTTACTGTAAATGTCTGAACACTTTCTTTTGTATGTTTCTTCTTTCTCGTTGTATTTTCTCAAACGATAGTTTAACTCAACCCCCTCATTGCTGTTTTCCTGCCTCTGTCACATTTTCTCTCTTTCTCTTTCCTTATCTGCTGGTGGTGTGTGTGCGTGCGTGTGCCTGCGTGTGTGTATGTGGAGGGGTGGGGGGGTGGGGGTGGGGGGGTTCTTGATTAGAACACACACTGCCAAGTCCCCCCACCTCGCATCATTGCATTTGATTAGCTCTAACCCCCTGCTCCCTCCCTTATCACTACCAGCACAACAGGAAGCGCCCCACACACACACACACACGCACACACGCATGCATGCACAGATACACATGCATATATATCACAAACTCACTTGCAGACTTATCTGAACTCTGTGGCTGCCTGTAAACGTGCATTGGCATATATGAACACGCACAATCTCCACACACACACACACACACACACACACACACACACACACACACACACACACATCTGGGCTGCTGCTGGTGCTGTGGTGGCAGGGCATCAGGTAAAGCCAGCATGACGCTGACAGCTCCCTGTCCCTAATGAAGCATTAATAAACTACAGCTCAAAACAGTGGATCAGAGAGCAGCAGAGTTCCCCACCTGCCTGGCTGCCTGCTCGCTGCCAGGGGGAGAGATGAGAGGTGAGAGGATCACTGTAATCCCCCATCCTCCAAAACCCCTCTGCCCCACTTTTCAGAGAGACAACCCCCCCCAGCCTTCATCACCTGCTCTTCAGTATTGTGCCGAAAGGTACTTTTCAGTTTTCACAAGTCTGATGTCAAATAAATACTCAATAAAAAGAGACCTCACATAATTAAACCACCACTAACACTCCAGCAGCTCTGCACCGAGCCACACAGCTGGAGATGTTATTTCCTTTACAGTTTTCACATATTTTCTGATACGTGAATAAATGTAGTTTTATCGAAAATGTATGCATTCGAAACATTTGATGATAAACATTGCATTTTTATGCATCCAGGAAAAACATAAACGCAAAATGAGATTGAAGTGATTCAGAGTTGTTGGCACAAAACTTTATTTTTTATTTTTTTCTACAGAAGTCATATCTTCAGCTCAAATAGAGTTGAGAAAGTCATTTAGTTTTGAATCTACTGAGCTGTGTGTGGAAGACTGACTGTTCACATTTAGAGCCGAGTGAATTTTGTGAATTTGACTGCTGCAGTGTTTTATTTTTTGCAGGTTTATTTGCCTCGACAGACAATATAGCTCTGAACTGTAAAGATGTTAGCTGTAGCTAGTTAGCACGTCTGTGTGGAGTGTGCCTGTTCTTGTGTTTGTTAGCACGTCCTTTGACTGGGCGACGGAACCAAATCCTATTCTTTTGATTATTTCTCCTCCAGATGCTTCTCACTTCCTCCTTGTCTCTGCACATTCACGAACCCGCTCACTTTGCATTGATTTTTATCTGCAGTCACTCTGCCTTCAGCTTTGCCTTCAGTCTGAACTCACATAAGAGTAAGCACTGCTAATCAGCTGCTTGCTAGTATCCATCTTACCTCTGCAGCTAAAGCACAGCACATAACAGCCAGACTGATTTCTGTCGCAGTCTGACCCCTGATTGAACCCAGAGTTAAAGCCTAACTTGCTGACATGTTCGTGTGTGTGTGTGTGTGTGTGTGTGTGTGTGTGTGTGTGTGTGTGTGTGTGTGTGTGTGTGTGTGTGTGTGTGTGTGTGTGTGTGTGTGTGTGTTCAGGAATTGGCACAGACACACATACGGGCAGTGCAGTCACAATACATCCCCGATTGGCAGACAATGCCTCCTCTCCGATTCAAATGAAGCGAAACCTGCTGAGTGGAGATATTCCACTAGGTGTGTCCATTCAAATGCTGCATGCCTGTGATTAGGAGAATTAGAGCAATCGTTCGGTGCAAAGAAGCAATCAAATCCAGGTCCAGCTGCGATGGACCGACAGGAACGAACGAGTCCAAAAATAGCAGGATTTTAGAAAACGCAGTATTTTAAATGTACATAAATCAACAGTAAAAGTCTTTTTGAGTGTACATGAAAAAAACGTAAAAGGAATACTCTTCTAATTGGGCCGTAGGGTGCTGGCTGTCCTTTGGGGTGTCCTCTCCCTTCCCTTGTCACAACCTAGAGATGTCATCTCTCTGTTTATGCTGGAATACCGTTGCTTCAGTGTCACTTGGTGTCTTTATCTCTCTGTCTATCTGTATCCTGATCTGTCTTTTTCTTCTCATTATCCTTGCAGTCGAAACCTCGCTGAGCTTTACTCCAGCGAGGGAGACTGATCTAATTGGCAGCGAGGATCATTCTAATTTAGTGAAGCCAGCTCTGCTGACTTTTTCAGCTTCTCACTTTCTCATCTTTTTTTTTTTTTGTGCCACTTTTCACATGATAATAATGAGAAAATATAAGCAAGAACTGCCTGAAGTTTGCTGTGTGCTGAGCCTGTTTTTTTTCTCTTTTCTTTTTTTTTAATTTTTCTTTTTTTTTTTTATGTGCGCTTGTTACACCGATCACATTCGCCCAGGCAATTTGCCTGCTTGTCTGAGTCTGAGAAGGGAGGTTTATCTGCACTAACACCCCATCGAGGCTGCGCTTCGTATCCAAATCGGCCCCTGTTAGTATTCAAATCAAGAGCCCCCACCTCCGCTTCCTATTCTACCTAGCTCTCATGCCCCCGACTGCTGCCCCCCCCCCACCCTTTGCCTGTCAACACTCCAGCTTCACTCAGAGGAAACGAAGGTTTGGTAGAGAGAGAAAAAGAGAGAAAGCCCTGGCTATTATTTAATGAGATCAAGAAGTGTGAGGAGGATGCTGTTTACTGTCACAAAGCAAACAGGGGCCCCTCTCTGCAGGTGAGGTGGATCACTGGGCCTCTCCCTCATCCTCCTCTTCCTCTTGAGTAGCTGTGACTGCCGCCTCCACCTTAACAACCACCATTTTACAGAGAGCGTAAGCGCCTTGACAAGGTGCTTCTTCTTGTCAGGACATATACCTCCTCCTCCTCCCACTCCCAACAGCAGGTGGATCAAAACACTGAGGCTGTGAAGGTTATTTCTAGGTTAGTAAATGCTACATAACAAGAAAAGCCCGAAGTGTTTTTGTAAAGTCTAGATTGTGTAGTGAGTGTAACTCGTGTGTAATTGCCGCCGCTGTGACCTTTTACCTGCTCCGGGAGAGACAACAAGGTCGTTACTGCAGCGCTGTTTCCCACAGGTCATCAGTGTCTCATTGTTCATATGATTAGACACAAATTAGAGGCCAAGTGTCACAATCGTTCTCTGGTCCACGTTGGCTGCCATTAAGCCGCCATCGATGGCTCACAATGACTTCTGATTTCAGCAAGTCGCTTTTGCGTCAGTCTCCTTCAGTTCCAGCTGTAATTTTAGTACTTTATTTCCAAGTTGCTTTTGAGGTGTCTGTCATTAATTAGGTCTAGAGTCAGTTTCAAAGTTCCTGCTGCAGTACAGCACAAATATAAAATGAAAAAAAAAAAAAAAGTGTTCGTTAACGAGTCGAACGCACCAAACCTCAAAAGGACTTGACAGGAGAGAGTGGGAAAAGAAAAGGGGGGAAATGCGCCATGAAGACGAGGAAAGCGAGGTGGGGGCATATCCTTTGATCAAGAGCACTCCTCGTAGCACTCCTGTCTCCTTACACATCCATAATATATTTCTGCACACATTCCAGTCTCTTATTAACAAGGAAGCCAGCGCCATACCATCCTGAAGGCAGGTGTCAACAAAAAAACAACATAAAAAAAAAAAAAAATCTGAGCACACACGGTTTCCTTCATAACTAGAAAGAAAAGAAAGAAAAAACTAAACAAAATGCACAGCAAAGAATTTGAAATTCAATATATGCACTCCCCTTTAAATTAAATTCACTGATGTTTGTTGTAACAAAAGAGAGAATAATATCAAACATGGGTAAATATCTATTCGAACAGTCGCGGCTTAGGAAATGAGAGGGCCGCCGACACGCGGCTTCTCTCTCATGGGAGACCATGTTTGTCCATGACAGTCATAAATATGTATCATGCTGCAGGATGACGGCGATTGTAATCTGACGGCCACCTTTTGTCGAGCATATGAAACCCGAGAAAAGCCCGCCGCACCCCATCGGCGGCGAACACAGGCGAAATTAAAAGTTGCACCCTCTCCTATCATTGGAATGAGTCACTCAGAGACAAGTGGCACGATGTTTAATTAGGGTGGAAACAAAGACCTCGGGGGGTAATACCTCTCTCCCTTCTCCCCTCCCCTCTCTCTCTCTCTCCGTCTCATTTGTAGAAAAGTAAATATTCAGACGGTCGCTTTTCAGCCGTGGCGATTAAAGCATGCTCGAGCATAGCAAGAGCGAATGTGTTATGAATGTAAAGCTCCTAATTCAATTCGCTCGACGCTGCGAAATGAAACACAACTTGTTTGTACGAGTAGACAGCTGTGACAGTGCGTCCTTACCCAGGGGTGTCAAGTAGTTCTTCAAACCCACAATAACTGCGCCGGGCTTCCAAAAGAGCACCGGCAGCCTCTCAAATAACATGCCCTGTCATACATGATGCACTCCACAATACAGCAGCAGTGAGTGTCCTGGAGTACAGCTGGTTGACAGGTGCACTCTTCAGTGTAACAACTCCTCTGTTTTTTTTGTTTTTTATTTGACTAATAAATGTTGTTTTCATGTCCGCTCCCTGTCCCCGCAGCTCTGAAGGACCCCTGCACTGAGGTGACCTGCAGCTACGGCAGCACCTGCGTCCAGTCGTCGGACGGCTTGTCGGCTAAATGCATGTGCCCCCTGGGCTGCGAGGGCAAGGCCGAGGAGACGGTGTGTGGCAGCGATGGAGAGGACTACCGCAACGAGTGCGAGCTCCATCAGCACGCCTGCAAGAACCAGAAGAACATCCGTGTGCAATACCAAGGGCACTGTGGTGAGATACCGCTCTCTCTCCTCCATGTATTGGTTTTTTATCATTGATCAGTTATTCTAGTCTTAAGTGTCCAGTGCCCATCATGATTTTTCGGAGCCCAAGATATCGTCTTCAAATTTGTCTGATGTTAAATTTGCAGTGATACAAGGTAAAAGTAGAAACATTTGAAAGCAGCGATTTTTTTTGTCATTTTGCCTGATAAATAACTTAAATGATAAATTGACTATGGGAAAGCTTCAAACTTTTCTTTGTCCTCCACGCTCTCTGCTCCTCATCTTTTCTTTTCTTCTCTCTATTTACTACCTCTCACTTGTATTCTGTCTCCCTCACATTCCTCTCTAACTTCCTCCTCACCTCTGCTGAGTCTCATTTTTCATTCAGGTTGCTTTGCTTTACACCAGATCTCCTGCAGTGTGAATCATTGTTTTCTCCTAAGTGGGTCTAGATTTTGTTGGACCCAGCTTTTTTGCTCATCCTCGTTATCATTAGGCGATGGTTGCTAATTCCCAGGGCTCTCAACTTTGAGGGTGTTTTTTTGTTTTTTTTTTCTTCTTTGCAGCGAGCCAAAGGGAGGGAAAGAACAGCAGGCACTAACTCTGTCTCTTAGCAGCCAGAGCCTCCGGGAGACATAGTAGGGTGGTGGGCAATGAGAGATGGATGTGCGGCTCTGCTGGTGGAAGGTTGGTCGTATAAATCCAGCCTGAGTCGGCCAAAGTGACCCGAGTTGCCCCGTCCTCCCTGGGGAGGGCCGAAGCTCAAGGGACCAGTCCGTCCTGATGGGCCTCTAAATCTTCCTGCAGCCATTTCATCTGAAGCCATGGCTATTTCAAGTTCGTGGCCCTAGCCAGACAAAATGCAACTGATTTATCCGCACTGCTAGTTTTGGCAGCAAACAGGCCATTCTTTTTGTAATTACCCTACTTGCTCAGCTAGAGGAAAGCGTGGATCCTGTTCTTCTCAGTTAATGGGAGGTAATGGTCTTGCTCGCAGATAATGGTCTGGCTGGCAGGTGAGGCACTGCCTTATGCAGAGGCACCGCATGCATTACGATAGAAAAAAACAAAAAACCTGTTTGCTCGGTTGCTGGTCTCTGCAAGCATTTGCATTGTGCTGATAGAGAACAGTCCGAGGCCTGGCCAGAGCTGGCCGCGGCCGCTCCGCCTCCCAGCCCTCCACAGTCAAACCGCTCTGTCCCATTTCATGGCCCCGCATTGTTGCTCTTTGTATGCCTGCCAGAGGTCTTTGGAAACCATTTCCTCTCATTCTCTCTTTCTCATTTTCTTTCTCTTCCTTTCTACTCCGTTCCCGATGATAGGGTGTTTCATCCTTGGTGTGATTTGAATGACTCGCCGGCAGTTTGGCAGTGATTTAATATGTCACAGTGCTACATAAATCCTTTGTCTTCCCGCATGCTGAAAGCATGGCACGGAGGATAAAGTCTGGGCTCCTGTTTCAAGGAGTAACACCCCCGTCCCACACATCCGCAAACCAATTCCATTATGATCACGGACTGATAGGGCCGAGCGTGCCAGACCGACGCTCCCCTGGAAGGAGGGAGGTGCCAGGGAGCAAATCAAACCGACAGTCTCTTCATCCATTTCCTTGTCTCCCCTTCATATCCAAGGTCCCGGTCTGAGCTGCTCTCAGCTGCTCGGCTACTGATAATATCTTCGGAGCAGCAGTGATGGAGGATCATGTCTCGTCTTCTCCTCTCCCCATTCCTTAGTGTCGTCTGTCCTCTCCTCTCCTCTCCTCTCCTCTCCTCTCCTCTCCTCTCCCATATTGTCAAACAAACAACAGTTAATGCATTCAGCTTATACTGAGATGATGATTTGGCCTGAAAATCATATTACAGGTATATTGTTGTTTACTGCAATTTACAAACTGGCTCACTAGAGCTAACAGAACTTTACTTTGGAAGGAATTGAACAGTTGCCAGTTCTGAAGCAATTAAGCAAGGACACATCATGTCCTGTTACATATTTACTGTCTTTTTTCTTTTGCCAACGTATTGTTGTTCAGTTTTTCCACAGAGGATCAAAAGCTGGACAGAGATGTCTTTGATTAAAGCTTTCTTGTCCAATCCCCCCAGGGTCTAATTAACATAAACGTTTCCCAACTCAAACTGTGGTACAAACTGTGCAGATATGTATACTGCAGCACATATTCACCGACGCCTATGTCTCCGCAGACCCGTGTAAAGACAGCGAGAACAGCCTGAGCACAATGTGCCGGGTGGAGACTCTCACCCGCAACACCCTCATCTTCGGCCTGCCGGAGTCGTGCCCCCCGGGGAGCGAGCCTCTGTGTGCCAGCGACGGCGAAACCTACTCCAGCGAGTGCGCCATGACGGCGAAGGGCATGCAGAAGGGCATCAAGCTCAGGAAGATCCACGCAGGACAATGCAGGAGGCTGGGTAAGGAAAAGGCTTTGTGGGTTTTTGGAAAAGGAAGTGGTTGTGGATCACGATAAAGACGTGGATCACATGAAGTGCTTCATCATACAGATCTAGAAAATCTTGCAAATTTGTCTTTGATATGAAAAACAAATAAATAGAAAAGACCTAATACAAAGAGCTACATTATACTGGGCACGTACATGCTCCAGCAAAGGCTTTTATGTTGTGCTACAGCACACCCATAGCATATTGGTGCACAGCCCATAATTGTCTTAGATTTAATCTTTTATCACCCACTGTTCTCCTGCATTAACATGTACACGGATCGCTCGTGCTGCGATCGAATCAACAGATAGTAATCAAGATGCAGTCGCGAAGCATCTGCATCCCATCGTCATACATGCAAGCTTTCACATATATCACATAGAGTCTACCTCTTTACTGTGGGACAGTATTCTACTCCACGGCACAGAGATAAATGACTCTAAGGTCTCGGGATCTGTACTGTATCCATGCTAGCAGTAGCCTCTTCCAGCCTGATAAGAGCCTCCAGGGCTGTTATCTGTGCTATTAGAACACGGGGTTTAAGCCTTAGTCAACAAAGAGCTGTCAGCTTTTACTGTACGTCTGATAGCCATCTCTGCTTCCTCAATCTTATCTTTTTTCCTCTCTCTATTTACTTACCTCCTCAACTTGTATTCTGCTTCCCTCACATTCCTCTCTAACTTCTCCTCACTCTGGCGTGATCTCATTTTCATTCAGGTTTGCTTTTGCTTACACCAGATCTACTGCAGTGTGAATCATTTGTTTTCTCCTAAGTGGTCTAGATTTGTTGGACCAGCTTTTTTTGCTACAATCCTCGTTATCAATTAGGCGATGGTTGCTAATTCCCGAGGCTCTCAAGCTTTGAGGGTGTTTTTTTTTTGTTCCCTTTGCCTGTCAACACTCCAGCTTCACTCAGAGGAAACGAAGGTTTGGTAGAGAGAGAAAAAGAGAGAAAGCCCTGGCTATTATTTAATGAGATCAAGAAGTGTGAGGAGGATGCTGTTTACTGTCACAAAGCAAACAGGGGCCCCTCTCTGCAGGTGAGGTGGATCACTGGGCCTCTCCCTCATCCTCCTCTTCCTCTTGAGTAGCTGTGACTGCCGCCTCCACCTTAACAACCACCATTTTACAGAGAGCGTAAGCGCCTTGACAAGGTGCTTCTTCTTGTCAGGACATATACCTCCTCCTCCTCCCACTCCCAACAGCAGGTGGATCAAAACACTGAGGCTGTGAAGGTTATTTCTAGGTTAGTAAATGCTACATAACAAGAAAAGCCCGAAGTGTTTTTGTAAAGTCTAGATTGTGTAGTGAGTGTAACTCGTGTGTAATTGCCGCCGCTGTGACCTTTTACCTGCTCCGGGAGAGACAACAAGGTCGTTACTGCAGCGCTGTTTCCCACAGGTCATCAGTGTCTCATTGTTCATATGATTAGACACAAATTAGAGGCCAAGTGTCACAATCGTTCTCTGGTCCACGTTGGCTGCCATTAAGCCGCCATCGATGGCTCACAATGACTTCTGATTTCAGCAAGTCGCTTTTGCGTCAGTCTCCTTCAGTTCCAGCTGTAATTTTAGTACTTTATTTCCAAGTTGCTTTTGAGGTGTCTGTCATTAATTAGGTCTAGAGTCAGTTTCAAAGTTCCTGCTGCAGTACAGCACAAATATAAAATGAAAAAAAAAAAAAAAGTGTTCGTTAACGAGTCGAACGCACCAAACCTCAAAAGGACTTGACAGGAGAGAGTGGGAAAAGAAAAGGGGGGAAATGCGCCATGAAGACGAGGAAAGCGAGGTGGGGGCATATCCTTTGATCAAGAGCACTCCTCGTAGCACTCCTGTCTCCTTACACATCCATAATATATTTCTGCACACATTCCAGTCTCTTATTAACAAGGAAGCCAGCGCCATACCATCCTGAAGGCAGGTGTCAACAAAAAAACAACATAAAAAAAAAAAAAAATCTGAGCACACACGGTTTCCTTCATAACTAGAAAGAAAAGAAAGAAAAAACTAAACAAAATGCACAGCAAAGAATTTGAAATTCAATATATGCACTCCCCTTTAAATTAAATTCACTGATGTTTGTTGTAACAAAAGAGAGAATAATATCAAACATGGGTAAATATCTATTCGAACAGTCGCGGCTTAGGAAATGAGAGGGCCGCCGACACGCGGCTTCTCTCTCATGGGAGACCATGTTTGTCCATGACAGTCATAAATATGTATCATGCTGCAGGATGACGGCGATTGTAATCTGACGGCCACCTTTTGTCGAGCATATGAAACCCGAGAAAAGCCCGCCGCACCCCATCGGCGGCGAACACAGGCGAAATTAAAAGTTGCACCCTCTCCTATCATTGGAATGAGTCACTCAGAGACAAGTGGCACGATGTTTAATTAGGGTGGAAACAAAGACCTCGGGGGGTAATACCTCTCTCCCTTCTCCCCTCCCCTCTCTCTCTCTCTCCGTCTCATTTGTAGAAAAGTAAATATTCAGACGGTCGCTTTTCAGCCGTGGCGATTAAAGCATGCTCGAGCATAGCAAGAGCGAATGTGTTATGAATGTAAAGCTCCTAATTCAATTCGCTCGACGCTGCGAAATGAAACACAACTTGTTTGTACGAGTAGACAGCTGTGACAGTGCGTCCTTACCCAGGGGTGTCAAGTAGTTCTTCAAACCCACAATAACTGCGCCGGGCTTCCAAAAGAGCACCGGCAGCCTCTCAAATAACATGCCCTGTCATACATGATGCACTCCACAATACAGCAGCAGTGAGTGTCCTGGAGTACAGCTGGTTGACAGGTGCACTCTTCAGTGTAACAACTCCTCTGTTTTTTTTGTTTTTTATTTGACTAATAAATGTTGTTTTCATGTCCGCTCCCTGTCCCCGCAGCTCTGAAGGACCCCTGCACTGAGGTGACCTGCAGCTACGGCAGCACCTGCGTCCAGTCGTCGGACGGCTTGTCGGCTAAATGCATGTGCCCCCTGGGCTGCGAGGGCAAGGCCGAGGAGACGGTGTGTGGCAGCGATGGAGAGGACTACCGCAACGAGTGCGAGCTCCATCAGCACGCCTGCAAGAACCAGAAGAACATCCGTGTGCAATACCAAGGGCACTGTGGTGAGATACCGCTCTCTCTCCTCCATGTATTGGTTTTTTATCATTGATCAGTTATTCTAGTCTTAAGTGTCCAGTGCCCATCATGATTTTTCGGAGCCCAAGATATCGTCTTCAAATTTGTCTGATGTTAAATTTGCAGTGATACAAGGTAAAAGCAGAAACATTTGAAAGCAGCGATTTTTTTTGTCATTTTGCCTGATAAATAACTTAAATGATAAATTGACTATGGGAAAGCTTCAAACTTTTCTTTGTCCTCCACGCTCTCTGCTCCTCATCTTTTCTTTTCTTCTCTCTATTTACTACCTCTCACTTGTATTCTGTCTCCCTCACATTCCTCTCTAACTTCCTCCTCACCTCNAGAAACATTTGAAAGCAGCGATTTTTTTTGTCATTTTGCCTGATAAATAACTTAAATGATAAATTGACTATGGGAAAGCTTCAAACTTTTCTTTGTCCTCCACGCTCTCTGCTCCTCATCTTTTCTTTTCTTCTCTCTATTTACTACCTCTCACTTGTATTCTGTCTCCCTCACATTCCTCTCTAACTTCCTCCTCACCTCTGCTGAGTCTCATTTTTCATTCAGGTTGCTTTGCTTTACACCAGATCTCCTGCAGTGTGAATCATTGTTTTCTCCTAAGTGGGTCTAGATTTTGTTGGACCCAGCTTTTTTGCTCATCCTCGTTATCATTAGGCGATGGTTGCTAATTCCCAGGGCTCTCAACTTTGAGGGTGTTTTTTTTGTTGTTTTTTTTTCTTCTTTGCAGCGAGCCAAAGGGAGGGAAAGAACAGCAGGCACTAACTCTGTCTCTTAGCAGCCAGAGCCTCCGGGAGACATAGTAGGGTGGTGGGCAATGAGAGATGGATGTGCGGCTCTGCTGGTGGAAGGTTGGTCGTATAAATCCAGCTTGAGTCGGCCAAAGTGACCCGAGTTGCCCCGTCCTCCCTGGGGAGGGCCGAAGCTCAAGGGACCAGTCCGTCCTGATGGGCCTCTAAATCTTCCTGCAGCCATTTCATCTGAAGCCATGGCTATTTCAAGTTCGTGGCCCTAGCCAGACAAAATGCAACTGATTTATCCGCACTGCTAGTTTTGGCAGCAAACAGGCCATTCTTTTTGTAATTACCCTACTTGCTCAGCTAGAGGAAAGCGTGGATCCTGTTCTTCTCAGTTAATGGGAGGTAATGGTCTTGCTCGCAGATAATGGTCTGGCTGGCAGGTGAGGCACTGCCTTATGCAGAGGCACCGCATGCATTACGATAGAAAAAAACAAAAAACCTGTTTGCTCGGTTGCTGGTCTCTGCAAGCATTTGCATTGTGCTGATAGAGAACAGTCCGAGGCCTGGCCAGAGCTGGCCGCGGCCGCTCCGCCTCCCAGCCCTCCACAGTCAAACCGCTCTGTCCCATTTCATGGCCCCGCATTGTTGCTCTTTGTATGCCTGCCAGAGGTCTTTGGAAACCATTTCCTCTCATTCTCTCTTTCTCATTTTCTTTCTCTTCCTTTCTACTCCGTTCCCGATGATAGGGTGTTTCATCCTTGGTGTGATTTGAATGACTCGCCGGCAGTTTGGCAGTGATTTAATATGTCACAGTGCTACATAAATCCTTTGTCTTCCCGCATGCTGAAAGCATGGCACGGAGGATAAAGTCTGGGCTCCTGTTTCAAGGAGTAACACCCCCGTCCCACACATCCGCAAACCAATTCCATTATGATCACGGACTGATAGGGCCGAGCGTGCCAGACCGACGCTCCCCTGGAAGGAGGGAGGTGCCAGGGAGCAAATCAAACCGACAGTCTCTTCATCCATTTCCTTGTCTCCCCTTCATATCCAAGGTCCCGGTCTGAGCTGCTCTCAGCTGCTCGGCTACTGATAATATCTTCGGAGCAGCAGTGATGGAGGATCATGTCTCGTCTTCTCCTCTCCCCATTCCTTAGTGTCGTCTGTCCTCTCCTCTCCTCTCCTCTCCTCTCCTCTCCTCTCCTCTCCCATATTGTCAAACAAACAACAGTTAATGCATTCAGCTTATACTGAGATGATGATTTGGCCTGAAAATCATATTACAGGTATATTGTTGTTTACTGCAATTTACAAACTGGCTCACTAGAGCTAACAGAACTTTACTTTGGAAGGAATTGAACAGTTGCCAGTTCTGAAGCAATTAAGCAAGGACACATCATGTCCTGTTACATATTTACTGTCTTTTTTCTTTTGCCAACGTATTGTTGTTCAATTTTTCCACAGAGGATCAAAAGCTGGACAGAGATGTCTTTGATTAAAGCTTTCTTGTCCAATCCCCCCAGGGTCTAATTAACATAAACGTTTCCCAACTCAAACTGTGGTACAAACTGTGCAGATATGTATACTGCAGCACATATTCACCGACGCCTATGTCTCCGCAGACCCGTGTAAAGACAGCGAGAACAGCCTGAGCACAATGTGCCGGGTGGAGACTCTCACCCGCAACACCCTCATCTTCGGCCTGCCGGAGTCGTGCCCCCCGGGGAGCGAGCCTCTGTGTGCCAGCGACGGCGAAACCTACTCCAGCGAGTGCGCCATGACGGCGAAGGGCATGCAGAAGGGCATCAAGCTCAGGAAGATCCACGCAGGACAATGCAGGAGGCTGGGTAAGGAAAAGGCTTTGTGGGTTTTTGGAAAAGGAAGTGGTTGTGGATCACGATAAAGACGTGGATCACATGAAGTGCTTCATCATACAGATCTAGAAAATCTTGCAAATTTGTCTTTGATATGAAAAACAAATAAATAGAAAAGACCTAATACAAAGAGCTACATTATACTGGGCACGTACATGCTCCAGCAAAGGCTTTTATGTTGTGCTACAGCACACCCATAGCATATTGGTGCACAGCCCATAATTGTCTTAGATTTAATCTTTTATCACCCACTGTTCTCCTGCATTAACATGTACACGGATCGCTCGTGCTGCGATCGAATCAACAGATAGTAATCAAGATGCAGTCGCGAAGCATCTGCATCCCATCGTCATACATGCAAGCTTTCACATATATCACATAGAGTCTACCTCTTTACTGTGGGACAGTATTCTACTCCACGGCACAGAGATAAATGACTCTAAGGTCTCGGGATCTGTACTGTATCCATGCTAGCAGTAGCCTCTTCCAGCCTGATAAGAGCCTCCAGGGCTGTTATCTGTGCTATTAGAACACGGGGTTTAAGCCTTAGTCAACAAAGAGCTGTCAGCTTTTACTGTACGTCTGATAGCCATCGGAGGAAATCCAATTTTCCCGCTGTGTTGTTGGCGTGGCTCTCGCAAAGCCACAGCTGTGTTGGTTTGTGGCGGTGGTGTGCAGGGAGAGACCCTCGCTCATGTACCGAGACCTCTTGACAAACTCCACAGACAAGAATAGATCACTGCCATGGACGGACAACGAGGAAGGGTTGATAGACACTCGTGTGACACTCCCTGGTTGTGATGCCTGCTCTGCGTGACAGGCTGACGGAGGAGTGTGAGGGTTTGAAATTGCACAAATCCCAGCCTAAGTAGCACTGTGAGTTTGTGTTTGCATGCCAGTATGTGTGTGTGTGTGTGTGTGTGTGTGTGTGTGTGTGTGTGAGGATGTGTACGTGTGTGAGCAAGTGGATGAACGTTTTTTTTTTTTCGCCCCTTCTTTGCTGCGCCTTTTTCAAATGAAAGAATAATTCAATTTGAAACAGAGATCCATGAAATCATATCCCTAAGCAAATTACAAATTGGTAACTAATGAAAATGGCCATTTCGACTTGTAACCATGACATCGCACATCCTTGTAGCCCTCTCACTCAGATACAGCACTGATGTAATTAAGTGTGGCATGACAGGCTTTTAAAGAAAAGAGAAAAAGGAATTGAATTGCTGTACAAATTTGATCCACTGATCAGGAATGAAATAAATTCGAAGCCTAGCGAGCGCCTCCAGAACAGAGGCCTGCTTCAAATTGGATTTTCTCACTTCAATGGCAAATTTGCCATTTCACATTACCAGTATTTCTTTCTTTTTCTTAATTTCCGCAGTAGATTTCTGCTTAGTGAGTCAAAATGTAATGAATATAATAGTTTAGACTTTAACTTGACCCTAAAATGAAATTCTTCACTTTGACTTGCCCAATTTTATTAAAGTTATTTGGGAACTTTATTATTAAAGTTAGATGGGAAAGCTTGATCTCCAGTCAGTTGTCAGGGAGATTACATCACCAAAGAACATGTATTAACAGCAGCCGCACTGTTATTAAGTGTCGCTTCACTGAGTGCGTTACCAGGCTTGTTTTGTTTGTTTTGCCATGATTAATATTATAAAAAAATAAAATATGATAAAAAGTTAAAGGAAATATAAAGAAACGATCCAGTCCAGAGCAAATATTTCTGTCACGACGGTAAATCTCTCCTGCAGCTGCAGAGAGTTCTGGTTAAGTTTTGCAAAAACCATGAACAATTCATACTTTTCTAAAAAATCAAAGTAAACAAATTAACAGATTTTTTCCACCTAATGTGCTTTGAACAAAAGGACCAACATCAACAGAGACTAGCAAACACTCTAGTATTCTTTTGTATGACCAGCTTTCGTATTTGTCGGTGTCATTTTATTTTCTATGGTTGTGAACAACCTTTGATTCTTCTTTTCGTTAGCAAAAACATATTCATTTCTGATGTGTTGTTAACAGTTTCAGGTATTTCCACAAAAAGGCTTTAACCTCCGCTGCTGAAAGAAAAGCTTTTTACACGCGCTACCCGTGACATCAGTCCTCTCTAACATGTAATTACTGTTTGGATGAAAACCGATTTTATTTCCCCGTGGTTGGACCAGCACTGTCACACGGCAGGAAGGACAATTAGTTCAACACTCTGCTAGCTTGAAATGTTGTTTTTTTTTTTGTTTTTTTTTGTTTTGTTTTTACGCTCGCTGAGTATCTCTGTTGTCCTTTCCTCTGTGTTGATCAGTCTGACTGTTACAAAACTGGCAGCTGGAAAACATCTCTAAAAAGCCTTATCAGTGTCTATACAGATGGGTGACATAACAACAGTAAAATCTGAATAAATGACAAATGTCGATGCTTCCGTACAAGGGGTTACCGCCTGGTTTTGTCTGTGTGCGGTTAGACAATGTACAGATAATCAGATAGTGGGTTCATTTATTTTTTCACCCATCTCCCCTTTCAGAGCAATGCAAGGAGGATTGTCTCTTCAACGCCGTGTGTCTGATTGAGCAGCTGAGCGCCCGCTGCTCCTGCGATCCCATCGAGTGCGACGGCACCTACAAGCCCGTGTGCGGCAAGGACGGCCGCACCTACACCAACGACTGCATGCGACGCAAGGCGGAGTGTCTGAGCAAGGCCCTCATCCCCATGAAGCACCGGGGGCCCTGTGGTGAGTGGAGCTGAGGGACGGGACGGGGGGGAGAGGGGCGACGGCTTCTTTGCGGCTTAACAAGAACTAATGTTGTTTCCTCTCAGTCCCTCTCTTCTCCTGTGTCTGGCTCTGCTTGTCTTTAATGCATATTCAATGTGAATTTCCTTCTGTGTCACGTAAGTTAACGACACATATGTCTGTACTTTAAGATTTACTGAAACGGTTCAGAAATGCTCTCTGAAGGGGGGGGGGGGTTGGCGTAACTCAAACAGACAGGATGAGTGTGCCTTCCTTATAAAAAACCTTGCCCACACTTCTCCACTGATTCACCTCCCATTCATCCGCTCATCCTCGTCACGCTTCATCCCTCCATCTCAAACACACACACTCACGATGAAACCCCACCTTCATGTTTCATTCATCCGCTGTCTGTCTTCTACTCCTTCACTGGTCTTCCACTCCGGTGGCTTCTGTCATTTTTTTTTTTTTTTTTCCTCCTCTTGTCTTTGTCTCTTTGTCATGTGTGTTGCTTTTTCTTGTATAAAAAAAAAAGCTATTCTTTCTTGTTTCAGTGCGTCAGTCAGTCTGTCTGTCTATCTTTGTCCGTGTGGCCGTCTTCCTGGCTGTCTGGCTGCAGGTGGAAAGTGGGGTCACCCAGTGGCCGACCTCATCAGGCGGACTCTGAGGGGTGAAGCCCTCCCCCTCGCTCCGTGTGGACCTAACAGGAGGGGGTCTTGTACTGCTGCCTTTTTCCTCTCAGTCCTTGTGTGTCTCTGTGTCATTAATGTCTTTTCCTTCTGTTTACCCTCCTGCAAAGATGTGATCCATGAGGTTGGAGAAGTCTTCCTCTGTCCCCGCTCTCCGTGTTTTATTTCCTGTCTAACCAAAAAAGAAAAAGAAAAAAAGAGCATCTCCTGCTCCTAACTACCTGAGCGCTGCTCACCTCTGACTCCTTTCTCTCTGCATGCAGTATTGCACGCCAACCTCACTGCTACCCAAACAGCCCCTCTCTCCATCATCCAGACTATCTCATAAAAGCTTGTATCTGCTTGATGAATGCACTCAGTTTTTTTCTTTTAACCATTTGTGACCATAGAAACTGCACTGGATTTGAAGTTTGACTGCATTTTGTTAAATCCATTTGAAGCCCATATATCCAATCCTTTTATCTTTACTTTTCCAAACTGGAAGTAACTCAAGTAAAAGAGCTCTCAGTTTAAAAACCTGTCAGACTAGGTGAGACTTTAGTTTTGGAGGTAGGCTAGTTAGTGTACGACATGTAGCCTTAAACGAGATGAGCAGCAAAAGATACGACACGTTCATTAATTGAATAAACAGGCGTATTCTACTCACTTTCCCACACCTTACCTTTCACCAGCTACTTCCTCCACAGATTGATCCCAGTTCAGAAGGTCAGTAAGCTCGAATCGCTGCTATGAAGTGCATTTTAGTTCAAAGGAGCCATTTGTAAGTTTTGCTAATGCTACATAGCTAGTGTTAGCATTAGCAGCTGTTTACTCACCAGTCTAGAGGAAACGTCGTGAGTTCAGCATCAAACTTCATTCCTTTACTCGCCAGCAGCTGTCTCCAGAGGTGGAAAACAACGCCAGTGTTAACTCTTGTGTCTATCACGTCTTTTCTTCTACTGAAGTTAACATGCTAACCAGTTAGCCCCGGCCCGTCTCGTCACTTTCCAATGAGGTCTCACTGCAGCCTCAGAGGACGTATTATTACCTCTTGTCTTGTAAACGCAACGATCACCACAACCCACTCCCGGCAAGAAAAACCTCTCCTTTAACTGCCAAGATCCCAACTCCTAAAATTGATTGACCAATCACATTGTTTCATTTGATGGCTTTGTATAAACTCTGGCTAGTTAAATAAATAGAGTAGAAAACCCAGTTTAATTTTGGCATTTTGGGAAGTTACTCAGTGTGTTTTATGTTTATTAGCTAAAGCTGATATCATCTGCAGCCGGCGACATTTGCTGTTTTAAGCAGCGAAAGCAACAGTCAGCTCTCTCTACACCCGAGGAATTATGGGATGATTCCGCAGCACATAGTTCACATCCAATACCATCGTTCAGTGGCAAAGCAAGGAGGGAGGGAGGGGAGTCTTTTATATGGCGAGGCAGACAGTAAGGAGAGGGATGTCAGGGTACTGGACAAGCGTGTAGATCATCCAACACTCATGCAACAGACCACTTATTAATGTTTGCTTTTCACCATAACCACATTCGAAACATTAATCAGTTGTTCTAGTTTATAAAGGAGCCGTAGTTTACCTGCCGTAACCACGATCGTTCCCTAAGTTTAACCATAGTTGCCACGCACAGATTTGGTAAAAATAAGTAATGAAATAATAAAACATTGTCATTAAACATAATCTGGGGTCTTACACAATCTGTTTGGTGAAAGTAAGAAGCCTGCTGCCTGACTGTATTGTCAATTGGTTGGTTTCTAATAAAAGAAGAATGAAGAGGGATAAGATTCAATAAGAGATTTGTAAGCCTGTAAGCTTAGCGAATTTTATTAACCCAGAACCAAACCCTAAGCTGCACACACTTCAGCCGATGTAAAATGTGAAAACAGTTGGCAGGATTGCAAGTGATTTCATAAAAATGTCCATTTTGAATTTTGGTCTTTGGCACTCTTGTTTCCAGATTATTTCCCGATACACCCAAATTATAACCAGTCATATTTTCTCAGTTAAAACTAGAGACATAACATAAACAGTTTATTTAGCCTCTCTGATCATTTTTGGAGCTGATGTCAGCGCCTCGTCTCAGGTTAATCTCCCCCTGAACTGGAAGCATTTTTTTGCTGTTTCCCTTCATGCGCCCGATGTCCCAGCATGCGCGTCAAACCCTCAGGAAACTGCTCCCACTGCTTCGTGTCACATTGCCTCAATCAACGAATCCACACAGCAGACGTGTTGCGTAATTTTGTCTCGGAGTTTCTGTCCACATTTTCATTATTGTTGTGTCACTGGGCGATAAAACGAGTGAGATCTGTTCATCCTCCAGGCGTGGGGGTGGAGCTGAATACCAAAGTTATCTCCCGTTGTCAGCATCAGGAGGCACCAGCGCTCATTAGCATTATTCGACCGTCGGAGCTGCGCCTAAATTGAGTAGTGGAAATGGCAGGGCAAGAGCTTATGTGTTTTGCTCTGTTTCATTATTTCTGGCAAATAGTGTCCCAGTCCAACCCCCCACCCCCCATTTATTTAGTTATTTTACTTTCTGTCTCTTCTCTCTCTTCATCCTTCCTGCCTTCCCCTGCGCATCGCAGCCGTCAGCGGCTGGTCGTATGTTTCTTTAATGCATTTTTATTGACATTTGCATATTTTTCAAAACAGAGCGCCACAAACTCCACCGCCACCCCCCGATTTGGTTTTAATTAAACATCAAAAGAGGCGAGCGTAGGTGCCCACTGAGACTGTTGGTTTAACCAGACAGATGATATGCATGCAGAGAGCGACTCTGTGTGTTTGTGTGTGTGTGTGTGTGTGTGTGTGTGTGTGTGTGTGTGTCTGTTTACATGTTAGAACTATCTGTCTTTCTTTGTCCCTCATGTTCTTTTGAAGTTTTTTATTTTTTACTGCCAGTGTGTTAGTGGTACTGAGTCAAAATAAGATAGAGGTCCCTCTCTGTATGTGCAAAGCCTGAAAGACTTAAGAGATAACCCTGACAGACACCCGGGGGATGCATGCAGTATCTTCCTGTTTGTGTGTGTGTGTGTGTGTGTGTGTCTTCCTGTCCTCTGAAAACACTCACTTGTCAGAGATCAATCAATAGCCCCCACTGATCACGCCACAGGAACACACACACAGATGCACACTGTATACAGTGTGAGACACACTCTGCCATTGTGCTCTGTTGTGCTTGTGCTCTGACATTGACCGGCATTGTGAAAAGACAACAGCACAGTGACCACCGTGTCATGTGGTACGTTCACACACACACACACACTCACACACACACACTCACAAGCGAGACAACTGGAGGCAGAAAAAGTTTCATATGTCTGAAAAGGGAGACTTTGATATATTAAATTATCATTACTTGATAAGTAATGATCTCTTTTCTCGTTTCATTGGCTGAGTGGTGCGTGGGGCGGGGTGATCGATCGGCCTGCCAGCTGTCAAACAGATAAAATTCCCCAGTTCTGACACCGTCGTAAATCTCTTTTCATGTGGGCGCCCCCGTCAGTACTCACCCTCACAAAGAATCGTCATGTGAAGAACCCACATATCTGTAATGTCCCGACTGCTGTCCGCCTCGGAAAAACAATTTGATTGATATCTGAAGCTCTTCAGTTTGGAGATGCAGACTCCACGTGGCATTTAACTGATTAGCTTACGTCCGGGCCGAGACACAAATCTTTAAGATGTCCGAGGACACGTGAGTCAGTGAGGGATTTGCTGGAAGTGAATCAAAGCGGGCTGCTGGGAAGGATGGTGAATAGGTCTGCGGCGCCGGATTCTGAGATGGAATAAAAGATTCCTGTGACACTGCGACAAGTTGTTTGTCATCGACACACAAGCTGAGGAGATGACACAGCTGCTCCATTGTTAAAAAATATTATCAGTTGTTTTGTTTTATTTATTTCTTTTTTTTTCCACTCTGGATTTTCATCATGTTTGTCACCACCATGATGATTGATTGTGTTGTAATGTTCATCACCTACTTCACTACAGGGTTTTTTTTACCTTGTTGCTGCGTGGAACATAAAAAGAATATTTTTAGGCTGAAGCGATGAAATCCTGTTTTTCCCTCTTCTTCCCGAATGATGTCAACACAGCAGGGTACCAGCACACAAACTAAACAATGAACTGTGCGTGCAGAGGTGGCTATTGTAGCAGAAATGTGGTAATTGTTCAGCTATATTTAGAGGGAGCAAGCACTGGAGGTACATTGGCACCCTAATAATTTCAAAGGCTTTTTGTTTTTCTATTGTATCTCTAATAAAAGATGGGTCACTACAGAAGAAGTCAGAAGTCACTCAGCTTTAACCCAT